ATCAAAATTTAATCAAACTCAACCCGTGTAAATGTTGAAACCCAATCGAGTATCGATCGGGTTGGGTTGTGTTAATCGGTTTGGGACAACTTGTCAACAACAATTAAAATCATCAAATTTTCTATTATACTAAATTATAATAGACAAAATTAAATAGTAAATAAATAAATAAAATTATCTATTATCTTATTCAATCCTCATGAGCCGAGTCTACAATGAACAAAGTGCATTTTATTTTATTTTTTTAAAATAGGCGAATCGGGTTAAATGGGTTTATTTGATTTTCATAGGTTAACTCATAACCGACCCAACACAACTCGCCTACACAGCCAAAAAATCGAACCCACTTAAAAATAACAAAAAATCGACCCAAACCGATCGGGTTAGTTCGATTTGGACTAGTTCGATCGAGTTTTGCCTACCCCTAACTGCATCCAGTATACCCTAATTAGAAATGACATTTGACTAACTATAGCTCAATTTGGAATACCGACTTATTTATAGAAATTAAAATTTGAACTTTACTAGTAATTAATTTTAAATATATATTTTTACATGGTTAATAACTTTTCAATCACATATTTCATCATTTTTTTTATTAAAATCTATTAAAATTTTGATTTTAACCACAATCCAACAAGGTGTTATTTCTCTTCACATAACATGTTTAAAAATCTTTTTTGCCCCCTTAATATCAGTAAATAACAACTAAGCTCTAGCTTGACGCCATTATTTTAAAAAAAATAAAAATTACATACTCATTTTCAAGCGCACATTTACACAATAAAATATTATGCAAATAAACTCAAAATTTTTCTCTACTTTTTAATCATGTATTCTTCTAAAATCACTATTCAGAACATTATTTTTCCAAAATAATAGTTGTCGGACATGGGCTAAAATATCTTACACGTTTTAATATTGAGAAATGATATTCATCCCCACTGGAGATGCATCTCCGGTCTATGTGGCGTTAATGTGGCATTAAATGATAGGTGAAATTAAATAAGTCATTTAATTTCACCTATCATTTAACCAATCATTTACATCCACACATAGACTGAGGATGCATCCCCACTGAGGATGAATAGCATTTTTCTTTAATATTAGCTCATGTTTGACAATCATTATTTTCAAACTTTTTTTTACATACTCATTTTTAACTACACATTCACATAATAAAATATTATGCACGTAAATTTAAAAAAATTCATTACTTTTTAACCACATACTTTCTTAAAAATTCCAATTTTTCCCAAATAATGGTTATCAAATAGGGGCTTAATGCACAAAGCTTTGAGTCCTTGTTTTGAACCTCATTATTTTCAAAATACATTTTTTTTTTATCTTCTTTTCAATCACACATTTTTAAATAAAATAATATTATACATAAATCCAAAAAATTTTCCCTTTTTTAACCACGTTTTTTTATCAAATTACTATTTGAAAATGCATTCTTTAAATAAAATGGGGCTCAAATAAGTTCTAAATAAGAAAATAGTGTGTGTCCAACTTGGTGGGAACACGACTCGGCCCATTCAGTTGAAGAGTTAGGGGCACAAGTTGGTTGGTTTGATGTGAATCGTGTGATGTGGCGGTAGCTTTCTTTTTTTTTATCAATAACTGTAAATTACTATAGATCAAAAACTCATGTATGTATACTCGGGGAATTCCCAGGCGAAACAACACGCATGTGGGACATACAATTACTCCTGACATACCCAAGCAAATAAAAGAAAAAAAGATGTACAAACGAAATAGATTAGTGACCCCATAGCTAACGACTCCCAATGAATCAAAATATTCGAATAAAAAAAGAACATAACTTTGTATACGTGTGTTTTTTATTCGTCTTACAATGCACTTAACTTGTGGTCTTAGATCCTCGAAAATCCTCCCATTCCGTGCCA